TCATATTGTATATACTGAATCGGTATCATCTGTCATCTAGCTGCTGGCAATTCCGTTTGTGTCCGGACGACTTCCACTTGGATCATCAACCTGATAAAAAAGTAGGCGTACTGCTGTAAGTCCTACGGTTCTTCGAGGGTAGTTCGTCAAGGCAGAATCCACAACATTTGATGTAGTGATTGTACATATGTTTGTGTTAAATAATTGTGTGAGTTCCAATTGATGTAATTGTTGGTTAATCTTGTTTGTTTCCGTACATTCCACAAATTACAATCGTCAACCTGTGAAGGGTTGCAGGCGTACTGGTGTAAGTCCTGCGATTCTTCAAAGGAATTCCACCAAGACATGATCCGCGAGGTTATTTGTACTGTTTGTGTATACGTGTGGTGTGTCTTCGCAATTGGTGATTTTGGATTCATTGTGTTTACTCGTTTTCGTGCCTTGTTTTATTGCATAATTCTGTTAAAATTTTCGTCGTGATTACTTCTGAAGTTGTTTTTTGTCTTCTACATCCGTGAATGAATTGATTGATGTTAGAGACAGCAGATGGGTCGTATACGCCGGGGAGGCGAGGCTATTGCTGAGAATGAAATGCACACGGAGATAATTGTCAGCTGCGGTCCGACACGCCGGGGAGCAGGAGTGTATACGACTGAGGCTTGCATGCGTCACCGCTACTAGAACTGAGGCAGAATGAGTGACAAGCGATTTCAGTGGTAATTGGTAGTGGATAGATAAGAGGATGTGCGTAGAGTATCATGAGTTGGTGCTATGGTCACGTTGCATTCTGCAAGAGTCATTCTAGCAAGTGGAGATTGTGTTGCAAGATGTCAAGAGGAGGTCTGTGTCTGGAGGCGCATGTCGTCATTGATGTGTGAGAATGTGCTGTTGGTATGCTTGTGGTGTGTTGGCTTTCCTGTTTGTTTTCCATTTCAGCTCTGTCCGTGTGATCCAGGTTCTCGCAACGCCATCCAAGTCGACGTGCATTGGTCGTGAAGGAGAAAAGTGTTGGATCCAATCATTGCCGGGGAGTGTCAAGGGAGTTGAAGATTGAACGATCAATTCTTGGTTGTTTGCTCAAAATCAACTTCCCCAATTTTCGCGGAGGCATCAATACGACAGTCATCGTCTCATCGGTCGCTGTTCAGAAAGAAGAATGAAACATCGTCAGAAACCTTAATTCGCTTATACCTTTTATATGTTGGTGTAACAATTAAGAAATCTCAAGCGGCCAATCGGTGTTTTGGTTTTTTCGTCCGTTATAACTAAGCGTTCCTCAAAACTTCAAGGAACAGCGTGGACACGAGCGTTGCGAGAGCTGGGCATTAACGGTTCATGAGACGTGATTGACACCTCCTCTTGACATCTTGCAACACAATCTCCACTTGCTAGAATGACTCTTGCAGAATTCAACGTGACCATAGCTCCAACTCATTATACTCTTCAAGCATCCTCTTATCTATCCACTACCAATTACCACTGAAATCGCTTGTCACTCATTCTGCCTCAGTTCTAGTAGCGGTGACGCATGCAAGCCTCAGTCGTATACACTCCTGCTCCCCGGCGTGTCGGACCGCAGCTGACAATTATCTCCGTGTGCATTTCATTCTCAGCAATAGCCTCGCCTCCCCGGCGTATACGACCCATCTGCTGTCTCTAACATCAATCAATTCATTCACGGATGTAGAAGACAAGAAACAACTTCAGAAGTAATCACGACGAAAATTTTAACAAAATTACGCAATAACAACAAGATACGAAAACAACGAGTAAACACAATGAATCCAAAAACACCAATTGATATGACACACCACACATATATACAAACTGTACACAAAACTCGCGTATCACATCTTGAGGGAATTCCTTTGAAGAATCGCAGGACTTACACCAGTACGCCTGCAACCCTTCACAGGTTGACGATTGTAATTTGTGGAATGTACGGAAACAAACAAGATTAACCAACAATTACATCAATTGGAACTCACACAATTATTTAACACAAACATATGTACAATCACTACATCAAATGTTGTGGATTCTGCCTTGACGAACTACCCTCGAAGAACCGTAGGACTTACAGCAGTACGCCTACTTTTCTTATCAGGTTGATGATCCAAGTGGAAGTCGTCCGGACACAAACGGAATTGCCAGCAGCTAGATGACAGATGATACCGATTCAGTATATACAATATGAACATATGTACAAAATCACACACCGAGCACATTGGACTGCTCATTGATGCGCTACCCTTTGAAGAATTGTAGGACTTACAGCAGTACGCCTACAACCCTTCTCAGGTTGACGCTCTAGGTTGAAAAATCGTCGCAGAGTTCATTTGCTGACCTCCTTCTATCAGCTCTATCTTCAAATCTGAACGGCAACTCGCTCATGTCATTGTATCGTAGAATATAGATGACGAACAAACATACGACATATCTCGTCAACCAAGCGTAGAAACAGAGTAATTTACACCAAAGATAATAACATTCAAATAGTAACTTGATACTAGAAATGCCTTTATTCGTGCAAGTCAATTTAACAATTACTCTCTCCTTTACACTTGGCTTATTCTCACTAAACTGAGCAATATCTTTCGTCTTTTCAAACGCATCAATAGTATCATAGTCATTGCAGAAGATACTTGAGTTGATGGGTGTCTGTTTCATTGTGGATGAAAACACCAACGATGACTGAGTGACACAAGGTGATGAACTTAGCGGTGGATCAGAAGCTGTTCTTTTTCCGCTTTCAGATAGTTGTCCAACTGCAAGATTACCACCACTGCTGTCTTTCACTACTAGTTCGGGTTTAGCACTATCATCTGATGATAGGTGGGCTACACGCTGATCAATTACACTGACTGTCTCACAAGTATGCACACCTTCTGGAACTGCATCTGCGTTCAACTCTACTTCACGTTCAAGTTGTACAGAACCTTTATTTAACTTAGCAGTAGTAGGCATATCCTTCATCTCATCATGATCAACCAAATAGAAATCTGCACTATCATGATCATTATCACGAATATTCACTTTACCGTCAACTTCATCATTTTCAAACTCTTTAATAACAGAAGTAGACAATTTTGGTTCCTCCTCACAAATCATTAAAGGTTTTATATCTTCACTCTGACTAGTTATACTTTGTAAACTTGTGGAGTCAGAACTCCATTCTGAAGCAGTAACTCTATTCTGTGACACTCTATTCAGCAACGGCTTACCAGTTGCAACTACAGACTTCTTCACCGCACCGTTATCGTCACACAATTCGGAGTCAGGCATAGAGTTTACATTTAGCTTATCACTGAACTTGCTCACCGGTTCACAGTTCACTTCTGTATGCACCTCTTGCAAACGTGTAAAACACAACCGTGTTTCTCTTGCAGCTTGCAACTTATCTGTTGAGGATGTACTACGTATCCTGTTACACTCACTAGGTCTATATGCATTACTATACATCATGGAGCCTTCTCGATATCCACCTCTCTGAGGCCTACTCGCCATCAATGATTGCATTTTGCTCTCAGACTGCTCTATTCTAGGGGTGAGATGTAATAGACTGGCGAACTTGCTCATAGATTGATTGACACTATCCTTTACTAGTTTCAGGATATCATCAAACTTTGGCTCGATACTCTCATCCTCCATACGGGAGCTCATCTTCACCCACTTCCTTTGCAGTCGAGTAGGTAGACGTCTTGCTATTACTTCTAGTATAAAACTCGAGTTGAGGTCACTCATGCGATTCATCGAAATCATTCCATTCTTGTAAATTAGCAAATTATCTAAAAACTCAGTGAGTGCCTGGGAGTCATCCTGTAATTGACCCCCATTACCCTCAACAGCCTCGAATAATTTCCCTGCAATCATCGAGGGTCTTCCAAACCTTTGACGTAATATGCTCATAGCCTCGTAGTAGCCCTCCTTTGGCTTCATAAACTTACATCACTGTATAGCTCTTGCAGCATCTCCAGTGCAATATCTCACCAAATACATTAACTTCAATTCATCACTTAATAGAAAACTACTCAACATGATCTCAAACTCCTTTACAAATTGTAAATAATCAGCTGGGTTTCCATCAAAACACCGTGGTTCTAATTTAGGGAGTTTGATGTTCCTATTATCCCTGAACGGCGAAACAGTAACATCAACCATGTCATGCTTAACATCAGACACATCGTTACAATTAACAGACAAGTCACCATGACTTACTTTCCTGTTTGCATCCAAGACGCTCTGTCCCTTCTTTGACCCAGGCATTGTTGAACTTGACCCAATTCCAAAAAGTTCCAGATATTGCTTGTTCAAAGAGGACTTGACCGGCACCAGGAAAAATGAACGGCGACTATCCAAACTTTCACCAACTGTCTGAATCCGCCAAATCTGTTTCTACCATCAGAAACTGTCAGCCACGTCTCGTAAACCGTTAATGCCCAGCTCTTGCTACGCTCGGGCTCACGCTGTTCCTTGAAGTTTCTCAGAAACGCTTAGTTATAACGGACGAAAAAACCAAAACACCGATCTACCGCGAGATATTTGTTTATTGTTACACCAACATATAAATAGAATAAGCGAACTTAGGTCTGAAAACAAATATTACAATAATAAATCACAAGATTAGTTCTGACGATGTTTCACTCTTCTTTCTGAACAGCGACCGATGAGACGATGACTGTCGTATTGATACCTCCGCGAAAATTGGGGAAGTTGATTTTGAGCAAACAACCAAGAATTGATCGTTCAATTTTCAACTACATTGACAATAATATGGGTGCATTTGAAAAGACGAAAGATATTGCTCAGTTCAGTGAGAATAAGCCAGGTTTAAACGAGAGGGTAATTGTTGAGGTGACTTGCATGAATAAAGGCATTTCTAGTATCAAGTTACTATTTGAATGTTATTATCTTAGCGGTACGTTCGAAATTGGTGACATTTTTGCACGTGTTTGCTCTGAAATTTATTTACTGCTTATTGTCATATAATTCTTGAAATTATGGTCCAAATCTCTAAAAAACGTGTTCGTAGAAACACAATTGTTTTAGATAGTGGCTTAAATTCGGTTATAACTGCATTACCGCCTGGTAATACAGTATCAACTACTAGCTCTCAAAATGGTTTGAGTGCAGATCTCACTCCTGTGATACAGGTGAAAGATGTTCTGTTAGAGAACTCTGAGTTCTGTAAACTAAACCTCCTTTTGAAAGATATGCAGAGGCAAGTAAGTGAAATTCAGAAAAAATTAGATCAGTTTGATAGTATGTCACTGCCAATCTCAAATACCACGGAGAGCCGTTCTGATATTGGCCAGGTTAAGTGTTTACTGGATGTAACTCAAAATAAGCTTTTGAATTTAGACCCAATAGCCTGTCTTTTAGAAAGGCATCCTAAAATATCTCCAGACAACCTAAATAAAGCTGAAAATCTGATTGACTGCTTGGCTACGGAGGTGATGAAGCGTATAACCTCTTCTCACCAAGCTATAGTTTACAACGTCCCAGATTCTCTGCCCCTGAAAACTGTAAGACACAAAATCCTGATTTGTTGCGGCATGGCTAGTGTTCCATGTGAATGCAAACGACTTCGTAAAAAGTCTAACCAGGCTAATTGCCCAATCATTTTTAAATTCAGTAATTCCCTTGATGCTAGTAAGTTTACTAAATGTCAGGATCACTTAAGACTGAATAGCAGTTATAAGTCTATAACCGTAGCTCAGGATAAAACACCGTGTCAGCGCAGAATAATGCGTAGTAATAACCTGGTCACCTCCTCTAGCTTTGATTTACCAAATAAGGATCGTGCACAGCAACAGACACCTAGTGCTGAAACTAGCATTCAGCAAACTACACAACAACCACACCTGCCAATGGAACTAGGAACTGATTTAGATACCAGTACCCCTGTAAACAAAGCCTCATCGAAAGATGTTAAAATGACTAGAACTTCTGCAAGTTGTTCTAAGAAATTTCCCCCCAAACGTAGTAACCTCACCACGATGAACAAATTTCGCAGGGTTGAGACTAATGATGGGGAAGAATACTTTGTATTCAATAAGCCTGCTGAGAGTAAGAATGCCAACAAACCATCACTTGTTACGAAAAACTCCTCTCGAAACATAAGTATATCTGGAGGTGTTCCGCATGCTCCACCTTATAGAAAGTCAGGCTCCAAGACTCCTAAAGTCTTGCAGCCAAAGCACCTTCCTTCACAATTCCCTTTAAGTTATAAAAACAACCCGAAGGTGTATACCGGTATGACGAATAGCAGTTGGATGGGTAGACCTTTGATGCTATGCCTTTTAACCGTCAACCTAGGCCCAACCTGTACTACCCTTATATCCAGGAACACATGGTAAATTTTCCAGGTGTCCCGAATCACTGGTACGACCCATGGCACCTAGGACCACCTCATTGCACACCAACTCCGATGTGCAGACACCCAGTCCGACCTCCTTTTCATTCATAAATTCTTGCGGTGCTGACGCACAAATAGATTTAGGTTATGGTGACATTTTAAGCCAGTTTGTAGTATCCCGTGACTTATTCACGATATTGCTAATTAATGCACGTTCCTTAATCAATAAGATATCTGAACTAAGGACATTATTATTAGTCGCCAAGCCTACTGTAGCTCTGATTACTGAGTCATGGTGCTCATCCTCTGTACTTGATGTGCATATAGGTATCGATGATTACACTGTACACCGTGCAAACAGAGATTGCAAGCGTGGTGGAGGATGTCTCATATATATACATAACTCATTTGTAGTCAGTAAGGTGGAAGATGAAACAATGAATAATGTACCTGACTCACTCTGGGTTGTCTTACATGGAGATAAGTACAAACTTCTCATAGGCTGTGTTTATCGAGCACCAAGCTCAACAAAAGAAACTGATGCGTTATTAGCTAAATCGTTTGCACACGCATCCTCGTTTAGTGCTAATTACAAAATAATTGCAGGGGACTTCAATCTTCCAGAAGTCAATTGGCTAACTAGTTCCGGCCCCCAACGCTTCGACGAATTACTTGCCACTATAGACTGTTATGGATGGCAACAACACGTCCAGACACCTACTCGTGGTGACAACATGTTGGACCTTGTTTTTTGTCATGACACAATCCCAGTATCCACTATGTTGGTAATCGATTTTCCAGTAGTGACCATAGAATGGTACTCTGCTCTCTGCCTTTCTCACCACTAAATACAGGAAACAAACAAGACTCAGGAAGCACAATATGTCGTAGTTACAAATATACAGACTGGGGATTAGTCCAAGAACTTATTCGACTCTGTCAATGGGATGACTATTTTACCACTGACTCCCTGGAGGCCTTAGTAACCCTGTTTTACAGGAATGTTACCCTTTGTCTAGATACAGTTGCTCCAAAGAAAATAGTGAAATTAAGTAGACACCGAACTGAATATATTCCAAGGGCACACCGTAATAAGTTAAGGAAGCTGAAGAAACAGTACTATTCCACTAAGGACATATCACTATTGCTCTCAATCCACGAGTCTCTTGAATCTCTCAAGCGCCTACGCTCTCAAAAGGACCTCGACGAAGAGTTAACGGCACTTGAAAGTACCTCCAAAGTTTATAACTTAACGGCACTTCTTAAAAAACGAATGCAGTCGGCGAGGGAAATCCCATACTTACTTCACGACAAAGTAATCTACAATGAACCTGCCACTATCTGTGAACTCTTCAGTGATTGGTTTGCAAACTTTAGTTTAGAAACACATATGCCTGGTGAAACCGCTCCCCTTACTATCTCTTCCCTTGAAAGCATTGTGTTCACTAATCAGTTAATAGTACAAGCAATTAAAAGCCTTAAACCTTCCACTAGTACGGGACCGGATGGCCTCGCTTCGATAATTTTCAAAAACAGTGGGTGTGATATACCCTTGTTACTTCTTAAATTCTTCTCAATATCTATGGACACTGGCACTTACCCTAGTGAGTGGAAAACTAGCTTCATAATTCCACATTACAAATCTGGTGATAGGGCAAACGTCCGCAATTACAGACCCATAAATATAACCCCAGTTATCTCACGAATCATGGAGAAAGTTGTAAAAGATCAATTGTCAGACTACCTAATTAGGGAAGATCTTGTTACAAGGTCTCAACACGGATTTCTCAAAAATAGATCCTGCGTTACTTGCCACTTCGACTTTTTCAACTGCATCACTAGTAGTCGCGAAGCACGTAAGCTAGTCGTTGTTCTCTACTTCGATATATCTAGGGCATTTGACATGGTATCTCACAGTATTCTCTTTGAGAAGCTGTACTCTTGTGGAATTCGCAACCCATTACTGAACTGGTTAAAATCATTTCTAAGCAACAGGGTACAAATAACCAAAGTTGGATCTGTATTGTCTCATCCTAGGCAGATCTCAAGTGGGGTCGTGCAAGGTAGTGTCCTAGGTCCACTTTTATTCACAGTCTACATTAACAGCATTTGCAAGTGCTTCACCTTAGGCAAACCATTCCTATATGCTGACGACCTCAAAGTCGTCTACTCCTGCTACACTCATGAATTAAGCGATATGGTTACTAAAATACATCTTGAACTAAGTAGTCTCGCATCATGGTGTGCTGAATCCTGTCTAAATTTTAACATTGACAAATGCGGCTGGATTTGTATCGGCAACAGTAAGCTTGATCTAACTCTTGAAATAAATGGGCGAAAACTAGCTAAGCTCAACTCAGTCGTAGATCTCGGTATTAGATACTCTAGTAACCTAACGTTCGCTGAACAGACTGATTATGCCAGACGTAAAACGCGAAGGCTGATAGGATGCATAACACGCAATTTCTTTTGTTGTGAAACTAGGGTTTTATTATACAAAGTATGTGTCCGACCTATCTTAGAATACTGCCCGTTTATTCTTAGCGGACTCAGACAAAATGACAAGCTTAAATTAGAGGGAGTGCAACGGCAGTTTACCTCAAGAACTCTTGGTTTAGAAAGTGGTCTGGAATACCATGAGCGATGCGAAAGACTAAGATTAGAACCCCTCTGGAAAAGACGCCTTAAGCTAAACCTTATCTTTTACTACAAGCTAACTAATCTTCTCTTGCATTCCTCCGAGCCAATAACTAAACCTACCGCTGTCATCAGTTACAATCTTAGAAATCATCACAACCTAGCTGCTATGGAGCACTGTCAGACTTACGTGCGGTACAACTTCTTCTTAAATAAGTTTTCAGTCATTTGGAATAGACTACCAGCTAATGTGCGCGATGCAAACACACTTCCAGTGTTCATCTCCTCAGTCACCAGACTGCTCAAAGATGACAATGCACTTTTGCGCCTGACTCTTACACCTTCTTTTTCACCCTACATAGATATTTTAAGTTCTTTAAACGTGTAGTTACAACAAACTACAATTATAAATTTTAATATTATTGGAACTAGATGATAAACATTTCTACACAGGACAGTAATATTAGTTCACACATAATATAAAAGTTAGCATAACGGGACTAGTTAGTTAATGAACAAAAATAACCATAGTTACAAAACAGAATATATATGTATATATTTATTAATCACTCCTTAAGGACTCCCGTTGCTTTCTTTTGCGTTGCTGTTGTTTGTCTTCTTTTTTCTCTCACCATTTCAGCTTCCATTTGACTTTTTGAATGAGAATGAATAATGTGGATATTTGACCATTTACAATGACAAATGATCTGCAAACATTATTGGTCCCGTATCTTTCAGTTGCCTGGTTAATAACGAATTAACTTTCTCCACGACGCAACCTGGATTACATTTGTGGAATATACTCTTATACCAATGGAAAACTTATAACATAACTGATCGTATCTGTAAAATAGCTTCCTTATTACCCAATTTGGATATAAATCAAATCAAAAATAAGATTCGGATTTGTACACACCCAAGTTATATTGAGGAATTACTTCAAGCTTTATTTTTTCCCAAGTATTTTTAATCCATCCAAAACATACTTGGGTTTTTTTGTTAATGCGAAGACAATATTCCTATATTTCATGACGTGCTCCATTGAATGACTGGTTATCATATTGTTCCCACAAACCAAAGACAGAAACGTCAGCAACCATGTAATTTAACTATAAACCGAATTTATGAAATTTAAATAATGCTTATCCATGCCTGTATAATTGGTGTGTCCTACACAAGTGGGAAAAGTTGTGTATTTTATTAAAATATTAATATTAATTATGATTGCTAATCGTATATGTAATTTATCATATTGATGATGCCTGTAAACTGGCGTCTATCATGTACAAAATGAGAATATACTGTTATTATTACCTTTCGTGTAAATTACTCTGTGCATACACTAGGTTGATGAGATATGTCGTGTGTTTGTTCGTAATCTATATTCTACGATACAATGATATGGGAGTGATGCCCTTCATATATGAGGATAAAGCTCATAGTAGGAGGAAATTAGAAAATGAACGATTTTCCAACCTAGGGCGTCAACCTGAGAAGGGTTGTAGGCATGCTGGCGTAAGTCCTGCGATTCTTCAAAGGAATTCCCTCAAGATGTGATACGCGAGTTTTGTGTACAGTTTGTATATATGTGTGGTGTGTCATATCAATTGGTGTTTTTGGATTCATTGTGTTTACTCGTTGTTTTCGTATCTTGTTGTTATTGCGTAATTTTGTTAAAATTTTCGTCGTGATTACTTCTGAAGTTGTGTCCACTCTTCTACATCCATGAATGAATTGATTGATGTTAAGGACAGCAGATGGGTCGTGTACGCCGGGGAGGCGAGGCTATTGCTGAGAATGAAATCCATACGGAGATAATGATAAGCTGCGGTCCGACTTGCCGAGGAGAACGAGTGTAAACGACTGAGGCCTGCATACGTCACCGCTACTAGAACTGAGGCAGAATGAGTGACAAGCGATTTCAGTGATAATTGATAGTGAATAAAAAAGAGGATGCTTGAAGAGTATAATGAGTTGGTGCTATGGTCACGTTGCATTCTGCAAGAGTCATTCTAGCAAGTGGAGATTCTGTCGCAAGATGTCAAGAGGAGGTCTCTGTCTGGAGGCGCAGGTCGTCAGTGACGTGTGAGAATGTGCTGTTGGTATGCTTGTGGTGTGTTGGCTTTTCTGTTTGTTTTCCATTTCAGCTCTGTCCGTGTGACCCAGGTTCTCGCAATGGCATCCAAGTCAACGTGCATTGGTCGTGAAGGAAAAAAGGGTTGGATCCGTATATTTCCGGAGGTGTCAATGTAGTTTAAGACTGAGCGATCAATTCATGGTTGTTTGCACAAAATCAACTTCCCCAATTTTCGAAGAGGCATCAATACGACAGTCATCGTCTCATCGGTCGCTGTTCAGAAAGAA